CAATCGGATAAATGAATACATTGATTGAATGATAAATTAACTAGGGACACATATTACAACCTGACGTTCAGTGGTTGTCGTTTGTTGATGTGGTTCATAAATGTTTCTCGTTTCTCGTTTTTTATATAGATTAGACCGTTGATTTTCCTATTTGAATGGTTTTACACTAGTCATTTTTGAAGCCCTTTATAGCTTGCTGTTCGGTGTGAGCCAAGGTTCCGTGTTGAAGGCCGTACTTTGACCTATAATGGTTTACTTTTACAAATTGTGACTTGGATGGAGAGTTGTTTCATTGGCACTCATACCACATCTTCTTATATCTATGTTTAGGACCAACACTAATTAACAATTAGCACAAAGTAGGTCGACGAAGATAGATTGATTGTTCCTTGATGAACATCATTGGCAATTATTTCATGCATATTTAGGATGAGAAACAAAAGGTATGAAACGACAGGGATAAAGGATGGTAAATTTGTATGCTTGCCAATGTAAAACAATGGTTTGTTGTAAGCGCAGATCTTTTGCGTTGCATTATGTTACCTAAGGACACCTTCAAATAGTTGTTCCAAGGGTTCTAAAACATACACAGAGCGTGATACTGTCGCTTCACGAGGTGTCAGATCTAACATACCTATTTCATCCATAAAGAATTTGATGTTGACGGAATGCCACCTTTGGTTGTCATGGTTGCTTATTTCATATATCATTTAGACCAATTAAGACCCCGATATATCTTATATAAACTATTTTTAACACCGTATGTTGACCTCTATATATCTGTTGTTAAGGGACTGTGGTAAAATTGCTTTCTTATTTACTTATTACCTTACATATCATTTTATCTATAGAACTTTTGTTTTTAATTTGAATAACATTGTTCTTTTATCACTTAACATTTGGACGTTGTTTTTATGTTCATTTAAAAGGAAAGTAGTAAGTATGAGACCATCAAAACACATATTATTCTAAATAAATACTTCTATGAATTATTGGTATAAAAGCAGATCTTCGTATTCTTCGATGGTTTACAAATGAAAATCGATTAATGCTTAATTACATTTGTCATTTCAGGTTTACATTGTTTACATTGTTTACATTTTATTTAAGGTATATACTGTTTACATCGTTGACATCGTTAATATCGCGATGTATACGATGTAGTCACGATATCGCGATGTCAACGATGTAAAGTCAAAGGTATAGACTTATTATACAATATAAACACAATGTTGACTTGCTATTGTCAACATCGCGATATCTACGATGTCAACGATGTAAACACAAAGGTATAGACTTGTTAACAATTATACAATATAAAAACTATGTCGACTCGCCATTGTCAACATCGCAATGTATTCTATGTAAACACAAGGTATAGATACATTGTAAGAACTCTCATCTACTGTTTACATCGTTGACATCGTTAACATCGCGATGTATACAATGTACTAACAGTATCGTGTTTACCTCGCGATGTTGACGATGTGAACGATGTAAACACCAAGGTATTGACTCGGTATGCAATATTAACGATGTTGACACGCTATTGTCAACATCGCGATGTCTATGATGTGAACGATGATAATACAAATGTATAGACTTGTTATATAATATAAACACGATGTCTACGATGTAAACACGAAGGTATAGTCTTAGAATACAATATGAACACGATGTTGACTCGCAGTTGCCAACATCGCGATGTCAACGATGTGAACGATGTAAACACAAAGGTATAAACTTTTTATACAATATAAACACGATGTTGACTCGATATTGTCAACTTCGCAATGTATACTATGTAAACAATGTAAACAGAAGGTAAATAAACGATTTAATGTAAACACAATAACGACACGATACCGTAGACATCGCGATGTTGACAATATTAGTAAAACATCGTGCACTGGACATACTTTGCAATTTATAGCTAACTATGCGGTAAGGGTTTTGCTTATTATTGAAGGCCGTACGGTGACCTATAGTTGTTAATTTCTATGTCATTTGATCTCTTGTGGAGAGTTGTCTCATTGGCAATCATACCACATCTTCTTATTTTTATATGGAAGATTTATTTTGATCCTTAACGTTTTGTTTACAGTTAGACCTCGTGTATCCGTTGTATCATTGCCGAGTCCATCGACGATAACAAAGGGTGGCACAATTAAATTATTGTGTGAAGACAACAGCGAAAATAATGAAAATATCAATAGTTTTTCATGGAGCCATGACGGACAGTTGCTGCCAAACAATACCAACCTCTTACTATTTGAAAATGCAGATCCTGTAGTTGCTGGGGAGTACACCTGCTTGGCAAGGAATATCGCTGGCGAAGATTTTGATGTTTTAGAGATTATTGTTACATGTGAGTATGTGAGCATAATTTACCTAAACAGTAATTTTGCAAAGTAATGTTTAAAAATGCTCTCGATGTTGTTTAATTATTAGTATGGCTTCCAAAAATCCATTTTAAAGGTGTTATGATTGCAGAAACATTTTAAGCTGGCACCCAATTGATATAACGCGAAAAATACTTTATTGGATTCTGCAAGTATAGTCTCAATTAACAATTGTATTAATATGAGGAAGTTATTGATTTCAATGCAAGTCAAATTTGAAACGTTTTTGTTGTAGGTATCATTTTAGCAAAAGAACATAATTACAGAGTTTAGGGTCCAAGTTGTGTTACGTTGTTTTAATTATTCCAATTGAATTTAATAAATGAACTTTTTTTCCGGTTTCGTATGATTCAAAGTATGTTAAAGATCTAAACATAAAATGTTTAATATATTTCTTTTCAGTCCCCCCAGTCGTTCAAAACGAGACGGTCGTCTTTGAAACAAACAGTTGGCCAAGAACTCTTCAGTGTAAGGTATTAGGTGTTCCAGACAATTATACATTCAGCAAGTGGTTACATTACACTTACAGTAATCAGCAGATTAGAATTTTAGATGGACTAGGCAATGGAACACTCATTTTACCACACAATGACCGTGAAAAACTTATGTACGAAGACACTGGTATATATATCTGTAATGTAACGAACAACATTCCAGATGAAGGCGGCCATATATGGCAGACTGGAAAAATCAAAGTGATCGTTGCAGGTAAAAGTTATCATGACATCTTTTATGGGGGAATTAAAACAGAAGGAAACTCAAGTAGTTTGATTTTGTTTCCAGCAAGACATAACGTGCCAATTAGCTAACGGCACTCTCTAACATTTGGAGAACAAGTGCAGACATACGCACACACCTGTCACGGGATTAAAAAAATCTTGAGGTCTATCCCCTTTTCAATCTTGATTAGTGGAATAAGAAATGATAAATAAAACGAAAGAGTACTAACTTATCAGTATTATAGATAAAATGGATAAGCGTTGATTCTTGAAAAAGAAACCATGAGCCCGGAGGAACTTAATCAATACAAGTATGTAAGCTTGTGTTAATAACTCTTAGAATACAATAATGAAATACAAAACAAAACTGTCAAGTACAAACAGGTCAATAACATAAAATAAGATCTCCGGTTGAGTTTGATAATATTTATTTATTTCCCTTTCCCTGGAGAGATAATAAAGAGATGAAAAAAAACAAAAAAACAAAAAATAAAACAAAGGAGAACCCAATATCATGGCGATAAAAGATAGATTACAATATTTTTTTCCAAATACAATTCATTGTGTATCGTCCAATAGAAATATGACAACTAAGGAATGATCAAATATATTCATATATTGCACTGAATAAAATCATTGTGCTGTATAAAAGGCGTAATAATTATGTTAACCGCATGTTTTGTCGTTCAGTGTAGACGCTGTGGTTAGAGGGTTATAAGATAATCAGAGAGGAATACGATGATGCGTTCGATGCCACAGAATAAAATCTTAATTAAGTGAACATTAATTGAGATAGTAATATTTCCTTATATATCTTCAGAACACGAACGGATATGGTCGTAGCTGACTCTGGTTTAAATTAAATAATTCATTTTATAGTACTTCCTTTTTCTCATCCCTTTACTTTCACAGTGTTTCGTAATAGACCCACCACCGTTGTCATCAAAAGCCGAAAGCTGTTGTGAATTTAAGAAGATTTTAATTGGACATTGTAAAATCGGGAATTCCTTCATTCTAGAAAACATTCCTCAGTAAAATTGATTTTTGATACGTGAATCTACATAATTTAAGTTTAAATATACCACATGTCTATTTTTATATTCATCAGTTCTTTCAAATTGTAACTGGTCATCAGCATTTCAGAATAGGTCTGCTGTGGAATAAATACCATTTATACAAGTCGTAAGGTTCTGAAAAAGTACTCGTTAGTAATGAGCATATTTTAGTTAGTTAATGTATGCCTCATGTATACTGACTTGTATACTAAAATGTAGTTAACTAAGTACAAAAAGAAGCCATTAAAGGTTTTCCTTGTTTGTAATCTATACATTAGTTGGTTTAGTCGTTGTTGTTTTAAGGGCTTCTGTCCATATTCCTAGATTGCTTACGTATAAGGGTAAAGTTGAACTAGCAAATCAAGTGTAATACATTTCTACATTAACTGTATCATATATACCAAAGTTGACTTGTGAGTCTTAAAAACATAGAAAGCTATTGACAGTTTTACGTCATTTATTTTTGCCGTCGAGAAACCAGATAAATTAGTGGATATTGAAAGTAATCTTATGATTATTAAAAAAGAAATCATCAGTAGAGTATATTGGTTTTTATATTTGTATGAAAGTGAAAGAACCATATTTCAGTTTAGATCCATAAAATTGTCGAAACAACTAACCTTTTGTTTAGTTTATATGACAGCTTTCTAACGATTCAAATTAAAAGAGCTTTAAATAATTCATTAATCATTAGAAATGTGAAAAGATATGTATCAGCAGAACGACGAAAACATGTCTGTTTCATACATTTTAACTGAAACCTTTAAACTTAAAGTGTTCCTTTCCAAGATATCTTTACAATTATATTGCAGGCAGACCAGTTATAGCTAACCCACAAAAACACATCAACATTGGATATCTGAATGAAACTTCCAGAATAAGCATATATACTCTAAGTTCTACAAGATACCCAATAGCGACGTGGTTAGATAAAGATGGATATGTACTGAAAACTGAAAGTTGTACTTCATCTGAAGTTGAAACGGAATTTTATGGTAATTTAGTCAATGTGTCTGCTTACAAATGTGATTTTCATATTAAAAAAACACAAGAGAAGGATTTTCAAAAGTATGCCGTCAAAGTGAGGAATGATCTAGGAGAAAGCCTGTTCGAAATATCACTTATTCCTGCACGTAAGTAAACATAAGATTATTTACCAACTGCATGATTGAAATATAAACTTGTAGTCAGGAGTCGAATTTTTATCGTCCAAGCCAAAGTTTTACTGCAAAAATGATTTGGACATAAACCTGTAATTAACGTTATCTCATTTGGAATTCTTAGTCCGGTTCTTTATCCTGATTTGGCCGCCAACAGAACACATTTTCATATCCCTTATCTGTGTAAGACTAAATAAGAAAATCTTAGGACATGCACAGATATATATATATATAAATATAAATATAAAGAACGAATCATTAACGCTCGCTTGAGAAACAAAATCTTTTTATCATTTTTCTTTAAAAAAATAAATTAAAAACAATGCCGCTCGCTTGAATATAATTAATTTCATTCATTTTGTTTAAAAACAAAATTTAAGATATTGTCGCACGCCTGAAGAAAATTCTTTCGCCTCCGAAAAATACAATTTTGGAAATAGATTTAAAAACATTGTTTTGCTCGCTGGCTCCTCTTTTCGAAAACAGGAGTCCGAAGAACTAAACATTAATTAAGAGTGACTCAAGGCTTCAAATACTATACTACAAGGGAAGTCAAGGAAACAACACAAAAGAAAACAAAAGAATGCAATTCTACTAAAGTTGGTTCAATCGGTATGATGATACATATAATACATGTTTGCACTGGCACTTGTCTATTTTTTTCATACATGTAGAGTGCACAATTGTTCTCACATAGACATTAAATCCAAAATGAATTCAACTCATCAATTGTTAAATAAAGACCGGGGTTTCGCAGTTTTGCTTCGGACTTCATTCTCTTTGTAAAATGACTTGTGGTATCTTACGAAGTTCTAGTCACCACAGTTATGTTACAATAGCAAATGGATAAACGAGAACTACAGTTACCTAGTTACATTTTTCATTTTTCCTTAAGAAGCCCTCGTCATGATGTATGTGTTATACTTTTAAGGGACAAAATGCCAGAAGATCAACACATATTGACAACCAAAAAATGTATACGGATATAAATTACTTTTAATTTGCATAATATCTCCAAAAGCAGTTACCGATATTTTGTTTCAATCACTTGATGCTCTTTGCTTATTTCCCCTTCGTCAATCACTGTAGATATAGTTATTCCACATAATGAACTTCCTTTTGTAGTAGATTAAATAATTATGTAGTTAGGTATTCAGATGTGTGTTTTGTGCTTTATCATTTAGAAAAGGGTATCAGATCAAGTTATAATTTTATTGATAGTGACTTTTTTGACAGAATGAAAAAACATCGAAAACATGAGCTTCAACCGTGATTCCCTTTCTGAAGTCCTGTATTTTCCAACGTTTTTGTTGAAACACGCATTTGTTTAAAAGAGGTTGTTTGTACCTTAAATTTACATCGTAGGTAAACCAGAAATACCAAGGAGTGTTCAGGTGATTGCATTGAAGTTCAAAATCATAGTAAAATGGCACGCTGGGAATAGTTATGGTTTTCTACAAGCATTCTGCATAGAATTCAGAAAAAGTTTTGATCTAGAATGGAGTATGGTGGCTGCAGAAAGCAATACATCAGTAACAATTGATGGATTACAAATAGACACTGTATACTTTGTACGCGTGTACTCAAGGACTATGGCTGGAGAAAGTAATAAAACCGGCGAAGTGATAGTTAAAACAGGTGATTATTACTAAACGTTTTGAAATACACTTCGTTGCCAGGTTATCGATGACTCGTGAAATTTTTCAATATATTTAATATACATACCAGAGGTATTAAAATGATGAAGAAGTTTTAATGAAATATTTTCAAGATCAAGGTAAACCTTCATCTATAAATAATGTTTTTATGAATGACACTGAATCACAATTAAAGCTGTTAGAAAACAATATAGACTTCAAAGCTGAAACAAATGCTCCAATATCTTGTTCAGAAGTAAAAAAGGTAATTAGTGGACTTAAAGTACAAAAGTCTGCAGGACCAGATAGAATTATAAATGAAATAATTAAAACTTCAAATCAAGTGATAATTAGTTCAATTGTTAAAATATTTAATTTAATTCTAAAAACGGGTATATATCCAAAATCATGGAAGGACTCGTATATAATCGCACTTCATAAGAAGGGGGACAAATCTGACCCCAATAATTACAGAGGTATATCTTTAATCAGTAATCTACCTAAAATTTGCAATGCTGTACTCAATAATAGATTAATCAATGTTGTGGATAAATAGCTGAATAACTGTCAATTTGGCTTCAGAGAAAACCACAGAACTGCTGACAGTTTTTTCATATTGAAATCTTTAATTAATAAATATATACCCAAAAATAACAAAAAAATCTATGCTTCATTGACCTAATAAAGGCATTTGACTCTGTCTGGAGTACGGCCCTTCTGTATAAACTATGCAAAATGGGAGTAGGAAAGTCTTTGTACAGAATAATAAAAAACACAATATTTAAATACAAAATCCTCTTTAAAGTATAAAGATCACATTTTCGATTATTTTGACATTACTAAAGGTTTGAAACAAGGGGACTCATTAAGTCCGACTTTGTTCAATATTTTTATCATTGATATCACTAAAGGCTTGGAAGATGACAACTCAAGTCCATTGGAGCTTATAGATAGTAAACTAGGCTTCCTCCTGTTCGCCGATTATCTCCTTTTACTCTCAGAATCTAAGGAAGGTCTCCAAAATGGTCTGAATAAAGTTTCCATGTTTTGTGAAAACTGGCAGCTTTCTCTAAACATAAATAAAACAAAAATTATGGTCTTTTCAACAACAAAGCAAAAGCCTGAAACATCTATACTTGTCTATAAAAACGATAAAATAGAGAATGTTTTAGAATATCCTTACTTAGGACTGCTGATTAAATCAAATGGTAATCTCAGCCATATTACAGCTGAATTAACAAAAAAGGCAAAAAAGGTTTTGTTTTCTATTGTTTTTCTCTTGGCAATCTTCCTATCAGAGTGTCAACTAACTTATTTGACGCCTTAGTGAGACCTATATTGACTTATAATTCTGAAATAACATATTTAGATTCATGTATAACATATTTCAAAGCTAAGAAAAGAGCTTTGGTTTTTGGAAAAAATGTGGACCCATTTAATTTTATTGACAAGACTCCAATAGAAAACTCACATCTTGATTATTGCAAGTTTACCCTTGGCACTAACAACAGCGCCTCAACTTTTGGTACAAGGAATGAATTGGGAAGAGTACCTATTGAATGTCATATAAAAACCCAAACCATTATGTATTTAGCAAGGTTTTTCACCTCATATTTGAATCCTTTATTACATGAATCTTTTCAATTAGCTAAAACTTTGGATTCTAGTGGGACCTATTCATGGTTCACTTTTGCAAACGATATTCTTTCTGAAACCAACATTGATATAGATAGACTGAAAACCTGTGATAAATTAAAACAATTAAAAAATATTAAAAACTATATTAAACCCCAAATAAACTCATATAACAACAACCTGTTGATTGATAAGTTGAGTACTATTGATGCTAAAAGTAAACTTTATTTTTACAAAGGACTTGATCCAAATCTATTGATAAAATCTTACCTCTCTAACTCAAATTTTGAACATAGAAAATTAATTACAAAACTTAGAATCAGTGATAATTCATTATTAATTAAAAAAGGAAGGTATTTTAAAATTCCTCGCGAAGAGAGACTTTGCAAAAAATGCAAAGTACTAGATGATGAAAAACATTTCTTAATAAATTGTTCTCATAATTCTAATATTAGATTAGCATATTTTAATTGCATTATCATAGAAGATAATTCATTTGCTAATCTCACTGACAATGACAAAATTATATATATATACTTAATCCATCAACACCAACACAAGTGAACAAACTAGGATCCTTTATTACAAAGTCAATAGAACTGAGAACGGGGGACCCTTTAATATTTACTTGAACCTGTATATATATATATATATTGAGTTACTTAGTTATTGTCTTCATTTGTTTTGTTATATGTCACAAACTGTAAAGTTTATATGGCAATCAAATATTGAATTGAATTGAATTGAATTGTATATATCGTATCGCCAGTGCTATCTGCTTCAAAGTTTCCTATTTTAATATTGTAGCGCTTTTGATTTTATATAAAAGTTTTAGATGACTAAGATTTATTGCCCAGCAAATTAATAGTTGAGGCACAATAACATCAATTGGCCGTGTGTTCCTCTGACGGAGGAGTAACTGTTTACAAAAATTGCATTCTTGCACAAATCGGCATGTAATGGAGCACTCAGACTCATGTACCGTATTAATGTCAATGTTATACATGTTATATATATATCTCGGAAAAGTATTGTTATATAGTTAAAATCATTCTTAACTAACGTCATCTTTTTATCAAACCACTGCTAGGTAAATTCGTTACATTGACAAACCATATTATCTCTCTAGTCAAGCGGGCGATTGGTAGCATCAAACATATCAGAATGACTTTTAAACTTAAAATTGAAGATAAAAAGCAATATTTTGAAATATCTTTTACTACGCGTTTTTTTTTAACTAACGATTTTTGACGCATCCGTTTTATATCAAAATCTGTACGGGAAAAAAATGTTTTACATCATCAGCTTCCTTTGATTATAAAAAACCAACAAAATACACCTACTCAACCATTATAGAACTTATAGAATATCGATGTCTTCCATGCGATGATATCAAAAGAACAATTAAAATAAAAAATAACAACACCATGATTATATTGCGGGATTAATATTTCCATTCGGCTGTGGGAAGACGAAATAAATACAGCTGCCATACTTGGAAGGCCTGTTCCGAATGATTGTGACAATAGAAACACGCGTGTAATACACCATTTTGTAGATAATTTAATGTAAATTTTTGACATAACAATTTTTTGTGGGACAGACAACCGCAGAATCGAAATATTTACGGAAGTTCACGACCGGGTGATATTTCTCAAATATATGAGTTACGTATCTTGTGTTATATTAAAGCATATACATGTAGGTAATTTTTTTTTCAGAGACAAGTTACTGTGCACTTACAGTACCAATTTCACTGCACCAATAAACTTATTTCGATTTTTTGTTTAAAAAAAAACAAAAAAACTTTTAGTCAGTTTCAATTTTAAATCCTTATGAAAGAGAGACGAAAGATACAAAAATGATATTCAAACCCACGAAAACGAACTGACAACGCCATACAAATGAGGCAAAAATAAAAAACGGGGCAGTATGTGCGCATTTATACAAATTCGTTGTTTTGTACTGTTTGTAGGCTTAAGCAAAGGACAATTCTTTACGAAAGACATGATTTACATTCATAGTTCACAATTAAGACACATTAACTCCTACAATTTGATTGATCGGGAGCACATTGCTATATACTAATATTGATAATAGAATTATTATTAATACAATTATAATAATATACAATTATGGCCCGTAGAAAAGGAGAATATACATAGCCCTTTGAACCATAGACGAAGCATGTACCTAACTGCTGTAACAGATGGTCAAAACACTTACGCTAAAAAATCATTTTGTTTCTTAGAACTTCTCGTATGTCTTCCTGTAAATTATTAATGGTCTTGAAAAAGAACCAATTATGAGAGATATCATCAGCACTAGATGAATTTCTAAGCCTTGTTTCCTCGTCACTCGATGGGATTCTATATATATTCATGTGACCGTTGTCATTTTGTTTACATTCGTCTGTGATGTTATTTTGATGGGAGATAACTCGAAAACAAAAAGAAGCTAAAAAGGTTATTCACCGATGAATAATAGGGTTATTCATTGCATGGTGTTAATTTTAGGGTTATTCGTCCTTCCTTGTACTTAAATGAAAATTAACTGAATTATTCCATGTCACGTGTTAGTTTATATCCCAATAGAATTATTTATGATAAACAAGATATATGTAAGGTATAATAATTATTATAATCTTATCTTGCAGGTAACCATCATTTGGTGATTCATTCTTATTCATGGGAAATAGGTGTTATCACGAGTGCAGCAGGTGTTGTGTTTCTCTTATGCGTGTATGGAATGAAAGGTAATAAAAGCAAAGAAGAATTATCTATACTATGAAATGAAAAGACCTCATTTTTTGTGTGTCGCTTCCCTTCCTTCCACAATAATCATACCTCATCATACCTCTGTGTCCTAAAGGTACCATGCATAGTCGCATTTGTTATCCTCGCTTATGATTATTCCGTTTGGGTTATTTTCGGAGGAAAACGAAAATAAAGGCGTCCGGATATCGTTTCCGTCATCGGACGGACTTTTAAGTCATAGACAAGACATCCGTTTAGGACTGTTTAAAATTAGAAAGAATTATTGTAAATTTACAAACAACCCTTAATTCCGAACCTGATTACATACAATGTTTTGGGTACCTGAGCTACAGGAACCGGTATCAAACATTCCTTCGGTCCCTGGAAGCGATAAAAATCCGATTTCGTGGGACCCCTGGAACCGGTATATATTCATGTTCTATTTAAGAAATAATTCATGCAAGCCATAGATTTGTTGAAAATTTTCACATGGCCTGGGCCTTATATTGGAATTTTAACCCGAGCGTAAGCAAGGGATAAAATTAACGAATATTTTATAATGGCTCTACGAGCGTAACTTGATTACATATAAGAAAGAAGAGGCGGTGTGATTGCCAATTAGACAACTCTTCACAAGAGACCAAATGACACAGAAATTAACAACTATAGGTCACCGTACATACATGTGTTGGGTACCTGAGCTACAACCTGTGCAACCGGTATCAAACATTCCTTCGGTCCCTGGAAGCGATAAAAAACCAATTTCTTGGGACCCCTGGAACCGGTATATAATCATGTTTTATTTAAGTAATAATGCATGCAAGCCATATATTTGTTGAAAATGTTCACATGACCTTGGTCGTTATATTGGAATTTTATCCCGAGCGTAAGGCCATGTGAAAATGATTACAAATCTACGGAATGCATGAATTATTTTGATTCTAATATGGTAAAGTTTCCCACTGAAAACTCTGACGCCATTTCAGTAAAATATGGCGTTTTTGTGCACAAATCGCATTGTGATGTCGTCGATTTATAGTGGTTGTGATTTATTGAGTATTTTATTATGGCTCTATTCATATGACATAATAAGCACCCCATATTACAATTTATTTGCTTTCTTAAAAGTCAACACCTTATTAAGTCTGACGCCATTTCCAGATTTCAGTAAAATATGACGGTTTTGTGAACAAATCGCTCTGTTTATTAAGTATTTTACTATGGCTCTACTCATAATTCCAATCTTATTTGCAAATATCACATAATAATCTGATTTCATTAGTCATGTTAGTGGAATCCGTTTCGAGTGACTGAAATTGAAAAGGTTGACATATCGATTACTATTGTCTTCTGCACAACGAAACAAAAAAGCATGGCGACAAAGCAACTCGCCTCCTAAAAATTGTGCGTTCATGTTATTACAAATAGTTGAACTTTGCGTTGACATTCTTTAGATTCACATCCAATATTTTGAACTGGTAAAAAAATCAAAATGTTATATTGACATCAGTTCATGTTTAAGATACTTTTGATACCTTTCCTGAAATTCTCCAGTCATATAATCTTTCACAAAAATTCATCCTACAACAGTTTACATATTTTCAACCACGCTTTAAATGCCCGCGATTTCGCGGGTGTGTTGTAGTAATTTTAATGTTTTCATTTTTCGATGTTGGTATATGTCAACGAATTTTAGACAAAAATTCAGTTTAGGATAAACTGTTTTATTAATTTTTCTCTTATTAATCAATAAAACATAGGTGAAAAACAAAATTGTGAACTAAACTAATTCGAGTCGCTTCTTAGACACATTCACATGAATTGTTGAAAGCGTATAGTTTGTTGATTTCATTGAATGCAATAATAATAATAAACAATTTTTCGTGAAAATGTGTATTTTAACACTGGCTTGCATTATCATGAAATATACAGAGCTAGTATTGGAATATGCACGAGCTCGGTATGTTTTTAATTGAAAAACAGAATTACTAGAATTGAAATGCGTTGCTCAAGTTTATGTCATTGATAGAATTACAGAAATGGTCAAACTAAATCTGTAAAGTAAATTTAAGTTTCATTTCAACATATTTTTACAGCTCTGGCAAAAAGAATATGTTTGAACATATCACTACATAGGTACAGTTGTTATTGAATTGATACGCATGCAATAACATTTTTTAAAAATTTATTAACTTTTTATTATGTATCTTTCTATTTATATCTGCACTTTCAATTTCGTCATCTAAATTTATTACTTGTGAGGAAAAAATACCTTTCATTTTCCACTGATTATGCCACTCCAAATCATAAACTGCAGACATAAATGAAGAGATGGGAAGAGAGAAGAACCATTTGTGTGCATTTATAGAAGTTTACCTATAAAAGGGACGAGAAATGGAGGTGGCATTTTGTGTATGTTTTACCGCCTATCCTCCCTTCCACTAACTTCTAATATATTTTGTATTGACTTATTTGTTTTCAGAAAATAAAAGTATGGTTTATAAAAAGTAAAATAACACAAATACCGAACTCCAAAGAAAATTCAAATCGGAAATTCCCTTATCAAATGGCATTATCAATTTAAAGCTCAAACACATCAAACGAATGAAAAACAACTATCATATTCCTGACTTGATACAGGCCTTTCCTTATGTAGAAAATGGTTGACTAAACAAGGTTTTATAGCTTGCTAAACCTCTCACTTGTATATACCAGTATAAGAGTTATGATTAGCAACGAATTTCTATTATGACGAAAAATAGCATTAGAAATTTATTCCAAACATTAGGAAATCATTTCAAGAACCTTTCATTATTTAACATCAGTTCACATTTCGGAACATTTAAATAAGGCATACATAATTTCTGGCTACAGACTCCGTTCAGTCTTGTAATCAAGTTGTATTCTGCATTCAAGCACACGGAATACATATTGTTGGTATTAACATTGGATTTTCATTACCGGTTATCAAACCTATTGCAAATATATTCTCAATGTTATTCATTTTTAAAATGTGATGAAACTAAATCATCACAAATTTAATGTAATTTTATGTTTATTAAAGATTCCAACTTTATAAATCGAACATAATAAGAGCAAGAATGTGTGTATTTGTTATGTTAATTTGTTTCATATCATATCTTGTAATTTGAACGATAATAAGTGGTCTAAACATCATTTATGATTTTGATCACAAGGTAGAAATCAGACTGTGTAGCTTTTATTACTGAATAAATACTTAATTCAGTAATATATTTTCGGCATTATTTATTTATGCAAAATATTATTCTTGTTTAAAAGTTTTGAAACGGTAGTAAATCAGAAATAGTTTTTCGATATTAATTTAGTATTTACTTATTAGGCATGTTCGCTCATCTCATTAACAATTTGTTATTGTTCAATGTAAATATTTTCAGAAGCACATATGGCACTTACATTTTTTATATATGTTGTTTCATAATCAGTTCATATGCAGTGTAACATTTATCATCTATATCATTGTTCAGTGAAAAAAAAAAACGACAAGACAAACAGCAATACTTATTAAAAGTATAACAAAAGACTATCAAAAACAATTTACGAATAAATTTAATAAAATGACTAAAGACTGAAGTGCTTTTCATGTTGTCCATTTAACAAATATTCAATTATTTTGCAGAAATGATATGACTCAGGATAATGGAATAACACAAGTAACACATGAACATCAGTACGATGAAATAGATAGCGTGCATTATAATCCTTCAAATGTCAATGGCAGACCGGAAATTTTATTAAACAATAATCAATTTGAGACTCTGCTTTCTTCAAACAATGACAGAAATATAGCCAGTATTCCTACCGACGATGATGGAGCAACATATTACACTAACGATATCAATCTGCGTGAACGTGATCCAAACATATTTAGTGCCGACAACGTTTCCATGGGGTCATCATTAGATGATTTGTACCTTGTTCCTTGTCGAAAGTACATTAACATTGAAATTGACGTTGCTGATGAACACAATGAGCAAATGGGAGAACAATGATGTATTGCTGACGGTTAGTCGTATTCAAACAGTGTTAGAAACGAAACACAAGTAAAAAGCGTTTGTTATGAGAGTTTAAGTGATGCGCTTGAACCAGACTCACCTACATTTTATTCATGTATATGTTTAAATGTTGATTCAGTTTGAATTTCTAGCAGTTTTTTTGTTTTTGTTTTTGTTTTATAGTATTTTTGTTTGCTTGGATTTATTTTAAATTTTACTTTTTTTGTTTAGTTTATATATTTATGAATACTACACATATTACTGATAGGGATACTACTGTTAATTTGTTATGTACACCGTAAAAGTTTAACCTATCTTGAGCTCTTTTCAGTTTAAGTAAAAGGTCAAAATGAATAGTAAATATTTCATAAGTTTTGTTAAACTCAGTTTACCATATGTACACTCTACATCTGTTTCTGTATAAACATAAGAAGATGTGACATTATTGCCAATGAAACAACTCCACCAGAAACCAAATGACATAGAAGTTAACAACTATTAGTCATCGGACGGCATTTAATAATGAGCAAAGCCCATGCCGCATAGTAGGCAATAAAACTTCCCAAAATGTTAAGTGTAAAACAATTCAAACGAGAAAACTAAAGAATATATATATATATATATATATATATATAAAACGTCTGAATAATAGTCAACGATCTTTCCGACGAGGGCGCTGGATCGTTACGAGTAACGATACATGTACACAATAAATAAATTATATAAACGCCTGAAAAGTGTACAAAACAACAGACATCCATGATCAAAATCATACTGATGAAGGATATCTGTTATCCGAAATATTTATAAATAATTACATTTATAGTTTTCTTTTTTTGTTATTGGTGTTGTTTTGTACACTTTCAGGCGTTTATATATATATACAAGTCTAAATTGAAAACAACGTTCAAACCTATGATTGCGTTGGATAAAAACCGCAATTTTTATACGTTTGCATGCAAAAC